TCTCTGAGGCATCTGCAATGGAAGCCGTTCAGACGTCGACGTTCTGCAACATTTAGCCACATGGTCGCGAGGCCGTACGTCAACTTGCTCAGAACAGTACTGGTGTATATCAGGATTTTGCGTGCACGGCTCAATCCAGAATGCTCCCACACTTTTGAAAGCGCCCGGAAATCAGCGCGCGCATTCCCAATCCTCCTCGCCAGTTCCCGGACTGGGTGCCCATCGTCGGAAATGAGAGCCCCAAGATACACCATGTCTGCTTGAGGCTCGCTTGCAGACCCGTTAGAATGCTGAATCTCGTCGGCGGGCAGGATGCTCAACAGCTGAAGCTTGTCGGCGTGAAGGTCCATGCCGTACGATTTCCCTGCTCGTGCAACCGCTTCGAGTAGTCTTCCCACGCTTGCTGCGCTTCTGCTCATGAGGAGCGTATCGTCCGCATGCAATAGGGCAGAGAGCTCACCATCTTCCCAGAGAGCACGGTCTGCTTGTGGAAGTGCGTCTCGTGCATCTTGGATGATGACAGTCATGATCATGACGAACAGGAAGGGGAACAGCGGGCACCCTGGCACGTTCCTTGGCACGTTTCGTGGGGCGTCCCTTGGCGAGTCCCCCTGGCACGTCGCGTGACGCGTCCCCTGGCACATCCCGTGGCACATCCATTGGCACCTTCCGTAGCGCGTCCCCTTGGAACGTCCCGCGGTGCGACCCCATGGCACGTCCCCTGACACGCCGCCTGGCGCGTCCCTTGGGACGTTTCGCGGCGCGTCCTCCTGGCATGTCCCCTGTCAAATAGCTCTGGGGCAGCTACTATGTGTTCAGGCAGCTCGTGCTTAAGATCCAGATCAGTTTGGTCCAGGACTCGGATGCAAAGCAGGACTCGATCCACAACTTTACAGAACACACCCGCGGCATGGCACATCGCAATTCAGCACGGCGCAGCACAGCACAGACTTCGGCACAGTACATCAATATCGATCAACAATGCAGTCATACACCCGGGGGTGCGTAGGACACTGAATTCTCGTGCAGGTGGGCATTTCAAATGCGTCTTCTCTTGAGGCCAGATGGAAGCTCCACGTGCGCAGACTTCAAACACTGATTGGGCGGAGGGAAGAAAAGAGGGGGGAGGGGAGGGAGGAAACAAAGGAAGGAGGGGGGGACTATACTACATTCTTCAAGTCAGCACTGTTCACAAATAACTTCCAATCGACGTCCGATTTGATCAGACGCTCAAAGGTTGCTGCGCTCCCTGTCAGAGACAAGGCCATGCGGTACACGTGCGGTACCCATTCCGACCTCGGCCACCCTACTTTCCTAACGTGCCGGTTGGTTGCTGGTGTCAGCGTGCGCGGGCAAAAAGTTGAAGTGCGGAACAGGCTTCCCTTTGGCGCGCGGGCCGCTTGCCTAGGAGCAGAAGCTGCTGTTTAGCTAGGGTCTGCGTCAAAGGCTTTTGCTGCGTGAGCTGCAGGACAGTCGCGTTGCCAATTCTAGACAGAGAAGCCGGAGCTATACCCCAAATCTCTCTGAGGCATTTGCAATGGAAGCCGTTCAGACGTCGACGTTCTGCAACATTTCGCCACATGGTCGCGAGGCCGTACGTCAACTTGCTCAGAACAGTACTGGTGTATATCAGGATTTTGCGTGCACGGCTCAATCCAGAATGCTCCCACACTTTTGAAAGCGCCCAGAAATCAGCGCGCGCATTCCCAATCCTCCTCGTCAGTTCCCGGAGTGGGTGCCCATCGTCGGAAATGAGAGCCCCAAGATACACCATGTCTGCTTGAGGCTCGCTTGCAGACCCGTTAGAATGCTGAATCTCGTCGGCGGGCAGGATGCTCAAAAGCTGAAGCTTGTCGGCGTGAAGGTCCATGCCGTACGATTTCCCTGCTCGTGCAACCGCTTCGAGTAGTTTTCCCACGCTTGCTGCGCTTCTGCTCATGAGGAGCGTGTCGTCCGCATGCAATAGGGCAGAGAGCTCACCATCTTCCCAGAGAGCACGATCTGCTTGCGGAAGTGCGTCTCGTGCATCTTGGATGATGACAGTCATGATCATGACGAACAGGAAGGGGGACAGCGGGCACCCTGGCACGTTCCTTGGCACGTTTCGTGGGGCGTCCCTTGGCGAGTCCCCCTGGCACGTCGCGTGACGCGTCCCCTGGCACATCCCGTGGCACATCCATTGTCACCTTCCGTAACGCGTCCCCTTGGAACGTCCCGCGGTGCGACCCCATGGCACGTCCCCTGGCACGCCGCCTGGCGCGTCCCTTGGGACGTTTCGCGGCGCGTCCTCCTGGCATGTCCCCTATCAAATAGCTCTGGGGCAGCTACTATGTGTTCAGGCAGCTCGAGCTTAAGATCCATATTAGTTCGGTCCAGGACTCGGATGCAAAGTAGGACCCGATCCACAACTTTACAGAACACACCCGCGGCGTGGCACATCGCAATTCAGCACGGCGCAGCACAGCACAGCCCTCGACAGGTTACATCAAGATCGATACACTCGGCATTGCATTTGCCCGTCACCCAGTGTGTCTTTGAAAACGTTGCCATGCCTTACATTTCTATATTCCTTTCCGGGTTCGTGGGTCGATCATCTTCCCGGAAAAGGGGTTCGGCCCAGGGGATGTTTTGAGACGGGTTGGCGGAGTTATTTGCGATAAATAACGAGGTCGAAGGGGGCCAGCACATTAGAATTTGAGGATGTCCCGAGAGGGACGCTGGTTTTTGGAGTTCTGATCGATAGCATATAGGGTAAAGTACGCCTTTACATTTGTTGCGGACGTCTCGAAAGAAATGCTTGTTTTGCATAACTTGTTGAGGATGTCTTGAGGGACACGTTTGTTTTGTGCTAAAGATCGTTCCTCTCCTGGGGACCAGAATTCAGAGGATGGAGGATGTCTCAGGTGAACTGCTTGTTTTCACTGGCCCAAGTCTTGAGGACGTCTCGAGCGAGACGCTTCGAGGATGTCTCGAGCGAAACGCTTGTTTTGCAGAACTCGAGCGGCCTGGGCACCCCAGGACGCCCAGGTGGTTCTGGGAGCCCGAGCACAACGTGATTTATCAAGGAACGTGGCCCTGGGAGCGCGCGCGGACGCACCGTACTTCACGAGGGAACGCAGCCCTGGGAGCGTGGACGCAGCGTAGTTTACCAGGGACCGTGGCCCAGGGAGAGCGGACGCAGCGTAATTTACAAGGGATCGTGGCCCTGGGAGCGCGGGCGCAGATAGATCGTGGCCCTGGGAGCGCGGACGCAGCGTAATTTACGAGGGATCGTGGCCCTTGGGGCCGTTCCGCGGCGGGTCCCCCTGGCATTTCTCCTGTCAATTAGCTTTGGGGTAGCTAGTATGTGCTCAGGCAACTCGAGCTTAAGCTCCAGAGCAGTTCGGTCAGGACTCGGATGCAAAGGAGGACTCGATCCACAGCGTTATAGAGCACAATCGCGGCCAGGCACATCGCAATTCAGCACGGCGCAGCCCAGCACAGTCTTCGGCACTGTACATCAAGATCGATACACTCTGCATTGCAACCTGGCAGGTTCGCTGGCACATTCCGTGGCGCGTCCTGTGGCGAGTCCCCCTGGCACGTCGCGCGGCGCGTCCCCTGGCGCGTCCTGTGGCACGTCCATTGGCACGTTCCGTAGCGCGTCCTTTTGGCACGTCCCATGGCACGTCGCCTGGCGCGTCCCTTGGGACGTTCCGCGGCGCGTCCCTCTGGCATGTCCCCCCTGTCATTTAGTTTGGGGCAGCTACTATGTGCTCAGGCAGCTCGAGCCTAAGATCCAGATCAGTTCGGTCAGGACTCGGATGCAAGGGAGGAATCGATCCACAACGCTACAGAGCACAATCGCGGCATGGCACATCGCAATTATGCACGGCGCAGCGCAGCACAGCCCTTTGCACGGTACATCAAAATCGATACATTCAGCATTGCAATTTGGCACGTTCGCTGGCATGTCCCGTGGCACGTCCATTGGCACGTTCCGTAGCGCGTCCTTTTGGCACGTCCCGCGATGCGTTCTCATGGCACGTCCCCTGGCACGTCGCCTGGCGCGTCCCTTGGGACGTTCCGCGGCGCGTCCTCCTGGCATGTCCCCCTGTCAATTAGCTCTGGGGCAGCTACTACGTGCTCAGGCAGCTCGAGCTTAAGCTCCAGAGCAGTTCGGTCAGGACTCGGATGCAAAGGAGGACTCGATCCACAGCGTTATAGAGCACAATCGCGGCCAGGCACATCGCAATTCAGCACGGCGCAGCACAGCACAGTCTTCGGCACGGTACATCAAGATCGATACACTCAGCATTGCAACCTGGCACGTTCCCTGGCACGTTCCGTGGCGCGTCCCGTGGCGAGTCCTTCTGGCACGTCGCGCGGCGCGTCCCCTGGCATGTCCCGTGGCACGTCCCCTGGCGCGTCCTGTGGCACGTCCCCTTGGCACGTCCCGCGGTGCGTTCCCATGGCACGTCCCATGGCACGTCGCCTGGCGCGTCCCTTGGGACGTTCCGCGGCGCGTCCTCCTGGCATGTCTCCCTGTCAATTAGCTCTGGGGCAGCTACTGTGTGCTCAGGCAGCTCGAGCTTAAGATCCTGATCAGTTCGGTCAGGACTCGGATGCAAAGGAGGACTCGATCTATAGAGCACAATCGCGGCCAGGCACATCGCAATTCAGTTCGGCGCAGCACAGCACAGTCTTCGGCACGGTACATCAAGATCGATACACTCAGCCTTGCCATTGCCCGTCGCCCAATCAGGTGTCTTTGAAAACGTTTCCATGCCTTACATTTCTAGATTCCTTGCCTGGTTCGTGGGTCAATCATGTTCGTGTCTCCGGCAGCCCACAACACGACAGCCCAAGTGGCCTCCAAGGGAGCCGAGACGACCCCAGGACCCCAAAAGGGCCCCCCACACGGTCCAAGAGGGCCCCACGATGGCCCGCGGGGCGCCCAAGACAGCCCAAGAGGGACCCAATAAGGCCCCAAGAGAGCCCGAAGTGGGGTCCGTATGAATTTTGGCTGAAGCCATTTTGTCTCAAGACATTTTGGACCGAGCCGGTACTGGATAACCTTGCCGAAGCGGTGAGGCTTCTCGCAGCGACATGGACTCTCCGCGCGGTACGGACGAGCACCTGCCACGCCGCTGCTTTGGCCGCTTCACCGTCGAGGTCCAGGACCAGAGGCCATCCTCGGACGACTGGCTCTTCAGTAACCCAAGCGACCTCGGCGCATACCCGAGGCGCGCGGCGTGGGCGCCGGCTGCGGCGGCGCCGACGCAACGCGTGCGGCGGCCGCCAGGGCTGCGCGGGGCAGCCGTGACCAGCCGCTTGGCCGAGGCCGGCACCATGCCCGCGGGCGGCACCGGCGAGGCCAGCACGTCCTCTTCCTCGTCTGGCAGCGGCACCGAAGCCAGCATGTCCGCGACCAGCTGAGCGCCTCGGGCATCGATCGCATGTATCATTGCCCCGGAGAGTGTGTCGTGATGTGAGACCGCGGCCAGACATCGAAAATATAGGCCCAGGGCAACATGTGATCGCACGCCGAGAGCTGGCCTTGACGCCTGGTCCTTTGGATCTGGGTCTCCAGCGGAAGCTGCAAGGCGGATAGCGTGCGCTTCCCCCCTCCCCTCAAACAGAAGCCTTCCCCTTCTCATCCCCCACCGATCCCTCCTCCTCCTCCTCCTCCTCCTCCTCCTCCCCACACTGCATTTCTTTGCGGGCCTCGTGTGCTCGCCCATGCTAGGTTTGGCTCTCTCGCCGTTCCGTGCCTTCGTCGGTGTGCCAAACTTGGCGCATCTGAGACGTCCTTGCTGCGGGCCTCGTGTGCTCGCCCATGCTAGGTTTGGCTCTTGCGCCGTTCAGTGCGTGCCTTTCTCTGTGTGCCAAAGCTGGCGCATCTGAGACGTTTTTGCAATTCTGCAGAAGCAGCAGCAGCAACACAATCGAGAGTATTCATTTTTTCCTGGAAAGGGCGCGGGCCCAGGGTTCTCTTTTAGGAGTTTTCCCCTGGAATCGACGAGCGTAGGGCCGGCGGAATTATTTGCGGTAAATAACGAGGTCATAGGGCCAGCGGAATTAAATTTTGAGGATGTCCCTAGCGAAACTTTTTTTTTCAGAATGTGTTGAGGATGTCTCGAGCGAAACGCTTGTTTTGTGTTCTATATTCTTTTCCCTGGGGCCAAGATTCAGAGGATGTCTCAGGTGAAATGCTTCTTTTCACGTGCCCAGGTCTTGAGGATGTCTCGAGCGAGAAGGTTGGTTTCACGCGTCCAGGTTGCCCAGGCAGATTTTTAGCATGACGACTTGTTGAGGATGTCTTCAGCGAAACGTTCGTTTTCGCGCGTCCAGGTCGCCCAGGCAGATGTCTAGCATGAGGATTTGTCGACGATGTCTCGAGCGGGACGCTTGGTTTCACGTTCCAGGTCGCCCAGGTGGATGTCTAGCATGAGGATGTGTGGAGAATGTCTCGAGCGAAACGCTTGTTTTCACGCGCCCAGGTCGCCCAGGCGGATGTCAAACATGAAGATGTGTTGAGGATGTGTCGAGCGAAACGCTTGCTTTCACGTATCCAGGTCGCCCAGGCGGATTTCTAGCATGAGGCTGTGTTGAGGATTTCTTGAGCGAAACGCTTGTTTTCACGTGCCCAGGTCGCCCAGGCGGATGTCTAACTTGAAGATGTTAGGATGTCTCGAGCGACCCGTTTGTTTTCACGTGCCCAGGTCGCCCAGGCGGATGTCCAGCATGAGGCTGTGTTGAGGATTTGTTGAGCCAAACGCTAGGTTTCACGTGTCCAGTCGCCCAGGTGGATGTCTAGCATGAGAATGTGCTGAGGATGTATTGAGCGAAACGCTTGTTTTCACGTGTCCAGGTCGCCCAGGCAGATGTCTAGCATGAGGGTGTTGATAACGTCTCGAGCGAGACGCTTGGTTTCACGTGTCCAGGTCGCCCAGGCAGATGTCTAACATGAGGATGTGTTGAGGATGTCTCGAGCGATACGTTTGTTTTCACGTGTCCAGCTCGCCCAGGCGGATGTCTAACACGAGGGTGTGTTGACGATGTCTCGAACAAAACGCTTATCGCAGTAGAGTGCATTGCAGTCCAACCCCGCCCGTCCGTAGGGCGTCCCCCTGGCGCGCTGGCGCGTCCCCTGGCGCGTCTCGTGCGACGTTCTGGCGTGACGTGCTTGGCGTGGCACGTTCCCTGGCTCATCCTCTGTCGCGTTTCCTGGCTCGTCCCCAGGCGTTTCCCCTGCCCGTTGGGCCGCTGTGGGAGTCCGCAGGGCCCTGGCACGTCCCCTGGCGCGTCCCTTGGTACGTTCCGCGGCGCGTCCCCCTGGCGTGTCCCCCTGTCAATGAGCTCTGGGGCAGCTACTACGTGCTCGGGCAGCTCGAGCTTAAGCTCCAGATCAGTTCGGTTAAGGACTCGGATGCAAAGGAGGACTCGATCCCAAATTCTATAGAGCACAATCGCGGCATGGCACATCGAAATTCAGCACGGCGCAGCACAGCACAGCTCTTTGCACGGTACGTCAAGATCGATACACTCAGCCTTGCAACCTGGCACGTTCCCTGGCACGTTCCGTGGCGCGTCCCGTGGCGAGTCCCCCTGGCACGTCGCGCCGCGCGTCACCTGGCGCGTCCTGTGGCACGTCCATTGGCACGTTCCGTAGCGCGTCCTTCTGGCACGTCCCGCGGTGCGTCCCCATGACACGTCCCCTGGCACGACCCCTCTTGGGACGTTCCACGGCGCGTCCCCCTGGCGTGTCCCCTTGTCAATGAGCTCTGGGGCAGCTACTATGTGCTCGGGCAGCTCGAGCTTAAGCTCCAGATCAGTTCGGTTAAGGACTCGGATGCAAAGGAGGACTCGATCCACAACTCTATAGAGCACAATCGCGGCATGGCACATCGCAATTCAGCACGGCGCAGCACAGCACAGCCCTTGGCACGGTACGTCAAGATCGATACACTCAGCCTTGCAATTGCCCGTCGCCCATTCAGGTGTCTTGAAAACGTTGCCACGGCTTACGTTTCTTCATTCCTTTCCGGGTTCGTGGGTCGACCATGTTCCCAGAATGATTGGAGGCCCAGGTTTCTTTTTTAGTGTGGTAAACCATGTGCTGGCCCTCAATTTGCGTACGGCCAATTTCTTTTGTGATAGATAACGAGGTCGCGTAGGGCAGGCGGACTAAATGTTGAGAATGTCCCGAGCGAAACGCTGGTTCTTGAAATTCCGATCGATAAAACACATGGTGAAGTATACATTTTCGTTTGTTGCGGACGTCTCGAGCGAAACGCTTGTTTTGCAGAACTTGTTCAGGATGTCTCGAGCGAACCGCTTGTTTTGTGTTATAGGTCGTTCCTTTCTTGAGGACCATAATTCAGAGGATCTCTCGTGTGAATGCTTGTTTTCACGTGCCCAGGTTTTGAGGATGTCTCGAGCGAGACGCTTGGTTTCAGCATTCGGATTTGTAGATGACGCTTGTTCCGCTCCGGAGCGAAAGGGACCCACGTGTTTTCACGCTTGTTCCGCTCTGTGGCGAGAGAGACCCACGTGTTTTCACGTGTCCAGGCCACCCAAGGGGGAATATCTAACACGTGGTCGTCTGGCTTCCAAGAGTGGGGGGGGGTCACAAGAACCATTACAAATTATCGCATTGACACCAGGTGTGTAACACTTTGGCACGTTCTGCCCTGGAGTCCGGGGGAGGCCTCCTGCGGCCTCCTGGGGAGGCCTCCTGCTGCGAAAAGGGCCCACGTGTTTTCGCGCTCGTTCCGCTCTGGGGCGACAGGGACCCGCGTGTTTTCAGGCTTCTGGCGCGAAAGGGACCCATCTGTTTTCATGCTTGTCCCGCTGTGGGTCGAAAGGGGCACGTGTGCTTTCACGCTTGTTCCGGTCTGGCGCGAGAGGGACACGTGTTTTCACGCTTGTTCCGCTCTGGAACGAGGGGGACCCACGTGCTTTTACGCTTGTGTTCCACCCTGGCGCGAAAAGGACCCACGTGTTTTCACGCTTGTTCCGCCCTGGCGCGAAAAGCACACGTGTTCTCACGCTTGCTCCGCTCTGCGGCGAAGGGGACCCACGTGCTTTCACGCTTGTTCCGCTCTGGCGCGAAAAGGGACCCATGTATTTTCACTCTTGTTCCGCTCTGGCGCGGAAGGGATCCACGTGTTTTCACGCTTGTTCCGTCCTAGGGCGAAAGGGACCCACGTGTTTTCACGCTTGTTCCACTCCTGGCGCGAAAGAGACCCACGTGTTTTCACTCTTCTTGCGCTCTGGCGTGAAAGGGACCCACGGGTCGTCATGTGTCTGGGCCACCCAGGGGGGGAATATCTGACATGTGGTCGTCTGGCCCTCAAGAAGGTGGGGGGTCACCAGAGTCACAGCAAATCAGCGAGTCGACACCAGATGTGTAATACTTTGACAAGTTCTGTCCTGGAGCCCTGGGGAGGCCCTCTGGGGAGGCCTCCTGCTGCGAAAAAGGACCCACGTGTTTTCGCGCTTGTTCCGCTCTGGGGCGACAGGGACCCACGTGTTTTCAGGCTTCTGGCGCGAAAGGGACCCACGTGTTTTCATGCTTGTTCCGCTCTGGCGCGAAAGGGACCCATGTGTTTTCAAGCTTGTTCCGATCTGGCGCGAGAGGGACACGCGTGTTTTCACGTTTGTTCGGCTTTGGGGCGAAAGGGACCCACGTGTTTTCATGTGTCTGGGCCACCCAGGGGGGAACAGCTGACATGTGGTCGTCTGGCCCTCAAGAATGTAGGGGGTCACAAGGGCCAGAACAACTCAACGAGTCGACACCAGATGTGTCATAACTGGACACGCTCCGTCCTTGGGCCTTGGGGAGGCCTCCAGCGGCCTCCTGGGGAGGACTCCTGCTGCGAAAGGGACGCGCAGGTTTTCGCGCTTGTGCCGCCCTGGGGTGACAGGGACCCACGTGTTTCACGCTTGTTCCGCTCTGGCGCGAAAGTGACCCACGTGTTTTCACGCTCGTTCCGATCTGGAACGAAACGGACCCACGTGTTTTCACGCTTGTTCCGCTCTGGCGCGACAAGGACCCACGTGTTTTCATGCTTGTTCCGTCCTAGGGCGAAAGGGACCCACGTGTTTTCACGCTTGTTCCGCTCTGGCGCGGAAGGGACCCATGTGTTTCCACGCTTGTTCCAGGTCGCCCAGGCGGATCTCTAATAAGAGGACGTGTTGAGCATGTCTCGGGCGAAGCTTTGGTTTTCACTTGTCTGGGTCGCCCAGGCGAATCAGTAAGATGAGAATGTGTGGGGATGTCTAGAGCGAAGCGCTCGTTCTGCAGGATTTGTTGAGAGTGTCTCGGGCGAGGGCCTCGCCTGCTGCGAACGCTTCCCTGCAGGATGTGTTGGGGATTCCTCTCGCGAAGCGCTGGTTTTGCATTGTTTGAGGAAGTGTCGTGCGGGGGTCTTGTCGTCGTCTGGGTGCTTTTCGTTTAGGCTCGGATTCGCCACCCGATCGGTTCGTCCCACTTCGGAACTGAAGCAGATCTTGAGTTCGAGCTGGTTGAACGCCCTGCATGTTAAGACTGCAGCCAGCTTTGGGCGAACCATGCGCGTAGGCAGCTTGAGCTTAAGATCCGAAAGAGCGTGTTCTACCGCTGCTGGCGGAAAACCGGGGGGGGGTCCCTACCGGTTCGAACCCCTCCCCCCCCCCCGGAAAACCGGGGGGGGTCACTACCGGTTCGAACCCTCCCCCCCCCCCCAGTTCATCATGAAAAGGGGGGGGGTGTCACTACTGGTTCGAAACCCCCCCCCCCCCCCCCCCTCGAACTCGAAAACCGGGGGGGGTCACTACCGGTTCGAACCCCCCCCCCCCCTCGAAAACCGAGGGGGGGTGCGGACAGTGGTGGGGACGGTGGTGGTGGGGACAGTGGTGAGGGGACAGCGGGACAGTGGTGGGGACAGTGGGACAGTGGTGGGGACGGTAGTGGTGGGGACAATGGTGAGGACAATGGTGGGAACAGTGGGGACAGTGGGACAGTGGTGGGGACGGTGGTGGTGGGGACAGTGGTGTGGGGACAGTGGGAATGTGGTGGAAACAGTAGGACAGTGGAGGGTACAGTGGTGGTGGGGACAGTGGTGAAGGCGGTGGCGAGGACGGCGGTGGGACAATGGGACAGAGGTACAGTGGGGACAGTGGTGGGGACAGTGGGGACAGTGGTGGGAACAGTGGGACAGCTCAGTGGGACAGCGGAGGAGTCAGTGGGACAGTGGGGACAGTGGGGATAGTCGGGCAGTGGTTGGGGCCGTGGAGAAAGTGGGAGAGTGGAACCGTGGTGGGAACAGTGGTGGGGACAGTGGGGACAGTGCGACAGTGGTGGTGGCACTGGTGGGGACAGTAGGGGCGGTGGTGGAACCAGTGGGGACAGTGGTGGTGAGGACAGTGGTGCTGGGAACAACAGTGGGGGATGTGGTGAGGACGGTGGTAGGGACCGGGAGTCGTTTGCTGGCGGTGAAGGGGGGGGTGGGGAGGGGTTCGAACCGGTAGTGACCCCCCCCTCCGGTTTTCGAGGGGGGGGGGGGTTCGAACCGGTAGTGACCCCCCCCGGTTTTCGAGTTCGAGGGGGGGGGGGCGGTTAGGGGAGGGGGGGGGTTTTGCCGGGGGAGGGAGGGGGAGGAGGGTTCCAGCAGGGGGGGGGGATTTTCGAGGGGGGGGGGATCCCCGGGTTCCGGAGGAAAAGGGCGGCAATTTTCCACAGTAAAGCGGCGGTGGATCACGCTCTCTCTAAGATCCAAACCAGTTCGGATAGGATAGGTTGCCAAGGATGGTTTGATCCACAACGCAACAGAGAGCAGCACAGTTCAACACAGCATGACGCAGCACAGTGCAGCACAGCACGTATCAACAACACTTTGCGCCAACTCGCGGCCCTGTTTATTTGCGAGGGGCCCTGGCACCTCAGAGTGCGGCGCCCTCGTCAGGCGACGCCATGCAGTTTCAGGATGGTGAGGCGAAGCGTATTCGTCTTGGTTTGTTTTGTCTCGCTTCGATGCGGGTCGGTTCGTCCTTCGTTTCGGTTCGTATCGTTTCGGTTCGTCTTGATGCAGTTCGTGGCGTTTTGGTTCGCCGAGCTTCGGTCCGTCGACTCTCGGTGCGTTTCGCGTCGGTTCGGAGTCGCCCCCTCTTGGCTCATCCCTTAACGGAACTGAATCAGACGTCGAGCTCGAGCTGGTCGAGCGCCCCGCGCGGTTCGATTGCGACCAGTTCGGTCAGGATTCCGATGCCAACTTGATCACAACTCAACGCGGCATGGCACATTTAAATTCAGCACAGCACAGCACAACACGGCCCCTTGCAGGGCACATCACTAACGTTACCTTGAACGTTGCAAGTGTTTGGTGTCTCGGAAAATCTCCAGGTTTCACATTTATATATCCCTTTCCGGGTTCGTGGGTCGATCATGTTGCTTGCCTGCGCCAAGCAGGATCATACACCATCAGCAGCAATGCTTTGCAAAGTGTCAATTCGAAGCTTTTTGAATTGGCTTGACTACTAATCGTTATACCTTTGCTGGTGTTCGTTTCGAGCCAGTTTCTGCCATAACCCAGAGTGACTGTATGCTCCTTTGAAAGCGATATCTGCTATAACCGCAGGACCATGTAACGCTTCATCGGATGCTTCTGTCAGAGCGCTTCTTGTCATACAGGCAGGACCTTTTGAGGTGTTCATTGCTGGTGCTCATGCGCTCTGGATCTTTCAATGTCGTATGGCAAGAGCGAGAAAGAGAGAGAGAGAGAGAGAGAGAGAGAGCCCGAAGTGGGGCCAAAAGGGATCTTGAGGAAGAGTCTATGCGGGTGCGGCTCCCGACGTGTCCCCAAGACCCTCCCGGAGGCTTCCAGGATGCTTTCCCTTGGGCTTGAACTAATGGGGCACGATACAATGAGGGGGGGAGGGTCGGGCCCCGAAGGCCCCCTCTTGGCCCGAAAGGGCCCTCCAGGGGCCCTGCAGGGCCCCTTCTCTGCCTCGCTGCCCCCCCATTGATTTTGCCCCCCTCTACCTCGCGCCCAGTTCGGGAGGCTCTCCAAGAGGCCCTCCGAGAGGCCCCGAGGAGGCCTCGCGTGGCCCCCGATACAGCCGGCGGGGGAGGGGCGCCTCCTCCTTCGCCCCTCCCCCCCCTCCTCCCCCGGCCTCTGCACTGCTGGCAGTTTCCCGCGACGCCAGCGCAAGTGGGCGCCAACCTCGAGACAGATCGTGGCATTCGTCCAGTCTCTCCTGGCAGCGCACTTTCGGCGGCGAGCGAGGCGGGGGAAGTGAGGAGGACGAGGCCTTGTCAGAAGGCGGTGGTGGGACTTCTCCGAAGCCCTCGGGGCTTCTGTGAGGTAGGAAACTTCTCAGAAGGCCTGGGGGACATCCTAGCCTTCTGAGAAGGCCCGCCCCTTCTCATTTACCCCCAGGCTCGCCGCCGATTCAAGACAGATCGTGCCATTCGTCCAATCTTTCCTGACAGCGCATCTGCCGGCGCTAGAATCTAAAAGCCCGCCAAGCGTGTCACGGACCTGTAGAGTCACCTGGAGACTTCTCAAGGTCGTTGGAGGACGTCGGTCGTCGGTCATCGGTCGTCGGTCGTCGGCGGCGTCGTCGTCGTCGTCATCGTCGGTCTGCCTCCCCTGTCTTCCCCTTAGTCCATTCTGGAGCACCCTCCGACTTCCTTCTGCGCTTTGCTCATCGACCCTCATGTTCCACCATCTCTTCCCTCCTACACCCGCCTCAACATTCATTCTCCTTTCACCTCAACCCACCTGAAATAATTGACTATCTAGGATGAACATCCTCGGGCTGGAACCTGAGCGCGCGCGCGAAGCGCGCGCGCGGGGCTCTAGTCTCTTGTATCCAGCGGGCTGGGGGACCTCCTGGATGGCCTCTCTGAGGCCTGTTTGGGGCTGTTGGAGGGCCCTCCTCTCCCGTCTGACGCATTCGGACGCCGTCTTTAGGGCCTCTCTGGGCCGTCTTGATCGATCCTCTTGGTGCGCTGTTGGGCCGTCATGGAGGTCTCGAGGGCAGTTTAGGAGCTCTCTTGGGCCTTCTTCAGGGCCTCTTGGGCCATCTTGAGGATTCCTTCGGCCGTCTTGGGGCCCTCTTTGGGCCCTTTTGGGCTGCCCTGGAGCCTATTTCGGAACTTATTGGGCCGTCCTGGGCTTTCGGAAGCCAGAAAGGGCAACTGTGTTAAACTTGCAAAAAGAACCTACGGCACAGCAGCGTTTCTGGCTCTCGAATACCTCTTGGGCGTTCTCTGGAAGCTCTCTATTCGGACGTCTTATGGGCTCATTGGGCTTTCTTGACGCCATCTTGGACCATCTCTTGGCCCTCTTCGAGCGCCTGGAGGTCTTCTTGGGCAGTCTTTGGAACGCCTTGGAGCCTTTTGACCGTTTCGTGTTTTGGGGCGAGCTGGGCTCTGGTAGTGTTTTTCTTTTGTTGGGGGAGGGGGGAGGGGGTGGGGTGGGGGGGGGGGCTGTTTTTGTTTTGCTACTTTGGCTGTTGCTGCTTGTTTTTGCTCCTCCCTCGGCCAGGGCCTCTCCTCGGCCAGAGCCCCTCCAAATAAGCAATTTCTCAGAGGAAGCGACCCCACATCGGCTGTGGAGAGTGGGGGGGATGTCGGACCGTGCGAACTATGGGGGGATGTGTTGGGCCCCAGAAATCACCGAAGAAGCCTTGCCAGACAGCAGAGGAGCTCTTTTGAGACGCCCCAGCGTGCACAAGGCATGGTGGCGGATTCCAGCAGCTTTCAGACGCATGACGTTGCCTCGAGCCGAGTTGCTGTTGGTCTCCCAACCCTGCTGCTGCTGCGACCCTCGGCCGTGCCCGCGATCGCCCCCCGCCAGTTGCGACGCCTGCGCCGCGGTGTGCGTTCGGACGGTGCCTTCGGGGAGGGGAGAAGGGAGGGGAGCTGCGAGGGCAGAGGATGAAGAGGAGGAGGGGGAGGATGAGGAGGAAGGGGATGAGGAGGGGCAGGAGGGGCAGGAAGTGGAGGCGGAGTGGGGGGAGGAGGGAGGGGGAGGGGGAGGAGGAGGGAGCATTTCTATCTTTCAGTAGGGTTCACGAAGTGGCCCCCACTGGCAAAACTCCCGGGGCAGAGCTGAACGAATGGGGGTGTGCTCAGGTCATGTCCCACTGTGGGAGGGTGCAGACCCACGGACCCCACGAGGCAAGCGAGTGCTCTGGGGTCAACGCGCCCCGTTCCTGCAGGCTGAGGCTCTATCGGTCCGATAGCTGGTCGTCCTTACCCTCCCTCTAGCTGGCTCACCCCGTAGCTCTTTTTGGTGATCCCTGAATCTGGGCTCCCAGGGGGTGGCACCCCGAAGAGGAAGCGCACTTGCAGGGCCAGGGGTCCACCATACAAGGGGTTACGTCCCGAAAGCAGGCGGGGGGCCCTTGGGAGACGGAGCGTGCATGGTCCAGTGGCGCCACCTGGGTGACAGCCGAGGCCACCACAAGCTGGGTGCGGAAGTTTAGATACCCCGCCACTGAATCAAGGTACTCGCTGCTTCTCGCCGAAAGGGCCGCGCGCGGCCAGTTTGCACTCAGCCCAGGGAGGAGGAGGAGGATGAGGTTGAAGATGATGAGGACGAATTCGAGGACGAAGATGAGGATGATGATGAGGATGCGGAAGAGGATGAGGATGCGGGTGATATTGATGCTGCTGATGATGCTGCTGATGATGCTGATGATGACGATGATGATGCTGATGCTGCTGATGATGCTGATGGTGATGACGATGATTATGATGATGCTGATGATGCTGCTGCTGATGATGATGATGCTAATGCTGATGATGATGCTGATGCTTCTGATGCTGATGTTGTTGATGATGAGGATGATGCTGCTGCTGACGATGATGCTGCTGCTGATGCTGCTGATGCTGATGACGCTGATGATGCTGACGATGATGATGCTGCTGATGATGACGACGACGATGATGATAGGAGTGCGTGCACAGGCATGGGGAGAGAGAGCATTTTGTCGCCGTCCACGCCTTTTCAGCCCTTGCTCTTTGCTCCGCTCTGCAGTCTTTTTGGCTCACAGGGTTGAGCCTGCGACCTTCGGCCTGGGCATCTTATGGTCGGAGGGCCCCTCCAGAAGCTGCTGTTTTTGGCGGGCCACGATGCGCTGATTCACTGGCTTCGTCGCCCATCATCGCCCGAGAGGGCCGCGTGTCCTGCCTGTGAGTGCGTGCGCCCCGCGGCGATCGAGCTGCTGTGCCCGCTGCCCGAGGCGGAGAGGACCCCTGGCGGCTCGCCCTGGCCGTCCGTGATGCAGGCTGTCGGCGCGGGGGTGGCAGGGCAGCTCGTGGGACGCGGTCCCTGGGAGTGCGGTCCGCGGGCCTGCTCCAGCCGTGGTCGCCTCCGACGCAGTGGCGTTCGTGCCGCTCGCCGCCGTGGACTCGGAGTTCGGGAGGACCCTGATGCCGGGGTCTTGCCTGCCGGCGAGCGGTGCCGACGACATCGTCTGGCACGAGGGGCGGGCAGCCTGGCCGATGGGGGCCCTCACTGGTGTGAAGAGTGCACTCCCCTGCCCCTCTGCCGCCCGTGCCACCATGTGTGTATGTTGTACACGCTTGTCTTGTTTTGTGGCATGCACGCTGCCCGCCGCTGTTTTGGCCCTAGTCCTAGGGCCCTGGGACGCACCCGCAGTTGGACTGCCGCGCGGTCTTTGCTGAAAACAACTGCACTGACATTGGTAGCGGAGCTAGTAAGCTCCAGCGGACGCACTGCGTGCTCTGCTTCGGTGGTTGTGACCACCCGCGTGGGCCGCCATGGCCACCAGCCACGACGGCTCAGACGTGGAGGCTGCGTCCTCCGCAGGCACAGGTCCCCCGGACCTGCATGCAGTCCTGCGCGTGATGGCCGAGACCCAGCGGGAGCTCTTGGCCTTGCATCGGGATCGTGGCGACGGCGGTCCCAGACGTACACGTCTACTGCTGTCGCAGGTGAGGCTCCCAGAGTTCGATGGTGGAGTCGGTACGAGTACTAAGAAGTACCGAGAGTGGCGCAAGGAGGTTGAAGTCATCCGCAACCTCAATCAGCTCTCAGACGTGGAGCTGGGCCTGATCATCTACAGTCAAGTGACAGGTCGAGCCAAAGAGCTCATCGAGGTGCTTGACGCGTCGGACCTCCGACGCGAGGAGACGCTCGAGACCATCTTTGCTATCTACGACGACGCCTTCGAGAAGATGGATCACGAGCGCCTCGATCAGGTGCATCAGGATTGGGAGCGAGCACGCCGTCGAGCTGGGCAGCCGATCATGGATTGGACCACGTACCTGCGCAAGAAGCGCATGGAGTTGCAGCTCGAGGATCCCACATCAGCGATCAGCGATCGCGCATTGGCAAGCAAGATGCTTCGTGGCGCTGGACTGTCGCAGAAGGAGCGAGCGCAGGTGCTCTTCAACTGTGGCGGCATCTACGACTCGAAGCGGATGGAGGTTGTGCTGAAGGCAGCCTATTCGAAGGTGCACGACACCGAGAAGCGCTCAGTGCTCCCTCGCCGCTCGCCGTTTGCGGCGCAGCGTGAGCACGGGCGCTCCTCTGGGAGTTCGGGCGGTCGCTATCCGCACCCTCCCATGGCTCGTAGGCCATGCGTGCTGCGAGGACGCCCTGGCCAGCACGTACACGAGGTAGAGAACGGCGAAGACTACGATGAACACCACGGCGACCTCGAGGAGGCGCATCATGACGAAGATGAAGCAGACGACCAGGACGATGGAGACCATGGAGGGGCCGAGGGC